CCGCCCATCATCGTCCCGCCGGAGGTGTTCGTGATCGCCGTCCGCTTTGGCCTCGTGACCGACGAGGGTGAGGGGTCGTGCGCGCCGCTTACCGTCATCCGCGGCTACCTCGGCGGCGAGCCCATGCCGCTCGCGGAAGCCATCCTGACCTTCGTAGAAGAGATGGATTCGAGCAACGACCTCGACCCGGTGCGCCGCTACATCTACGACATCAACCTCCCCTACTTCAAGCTCAGTGTCGCGATGTGGCTGAGCTTCATCGAGGAGACGGAACGCCTCCAGGAGCTGCTCGACGCCGCGAACGAGGGCTCGGTCATCGTCGACTTCGACCAAATCTTTTGGGTGGCCGTGGATGTAACGATCGCACACGCCTCCATCATGCGCTCCCACGCGAACTCCGCTCGGATCATCGCGTACCAGACATTCTGGGTCTCCCGCGGCCACGCCCCCGGCGGGGCCGCGGCCGACGCCGCCAAGCCCGCGGCCCAGGAGCTCGACGAGGTCGACGAGGGCGACGAGGGCGCGGCCTAGGCCGACGCTCCTCGCGACGGACGGCCGCCATCCCACGATCCCCATCCCTCCCGCCGTGCATCCCAGTCTCACCACGCCCGCCCCGGGGAGTAGTCCCCCGGCCGCAGTAAGAGCGTCTCTCGCAGTCCGCGTAACCAATCCTCTAATGGCCAGTGGTGTCCACGAATTACAGCGGGGCTCTAGACGTCGCGGTCCGCGCGCCAGAAAGGCGAGCACGAGCCAGAAGACCTCCAGCGGAAGCGCGCGCGGGTCTTCCGCGCTCGCGCCGAAGAGGCGGTTAGATGTCTAACTTGAATCCATAGTATAGTATACACCAGAACATCATCCGGGCCGGAGTTCAGAAGTACTTTCCAGAGAAGACCGACGACGTCGTCGACGGCTGAGCGTCGCGCGCCGGGTCCACCAAGCTACCGGGCTCCCCAGGTCGCATGTCTCTACGGGCGCGGAGGGGGAGGGCCCGCCTAGGCGTCGCGGTCCGTGAGAGGCCGGCGCGCCGAAGAGGCGCTCGAAGATGACGGTCGGCGCCGTCGCCCGGCCGCGAGCGCAGAGCGCGCGGAGCATCAAAAGCTGGACTCGCGGTTCGTTCAGGTATTTTCGATCCGAACCCGCGGCCTTGACTCCCGCGAGGAAGTCCGCGACGCGGAAGTCCGTGATCTGGGTCGGAGGCCCTAGAAGGTGTGGGTTGCGCGCATACGCTTCCGCATCGAGGCCATCATCGTCCATCAAAGAAAAGTCCGCGCCGCGCCTGACCAAGAGGCGTACGAGGTCCGGGTTGTGCACGCTGGACATCAACGGCGTTTCACAGTTGTTTCTCACATCGGCTCGCGCGTCAATATCAGCGCCCGCGTCGAGCAGCATCGCGGACAAGTCAAGATTCGACGAGTGGTGCAAAGGAGTAAGCCCATCGCCATCGACCGCGTTCGCGTCAGCACCGTGTACCAGCAGCGCGCTCACGACGGCGCGCTGATCCTGCTCGGCGGCAATTAAACATCCCATCCCTCCTTGGTCGCACGCGCAATGTAGAAGAGCACCACGGCAGGCGCAAATGTCCTCAGGATCCACGTCGTCCCCGAAGGCTTTATCGAGACTGTACCAAAACCACTCGTTCAAATCACGAGTGCCCGACGTGAGCCACTCGCGCAGGGTCTCGACGTCGCCACGGAGTACCGCATCGAAAACATGCGCACTCACTTGCGACGACATCGCCTTGTGTGTCGTCGAGCGCGGACCCGTGCTCTTGTGGTAGCAGGCCGGCCGATGTGGAGAAACCCGGAGCAGTATGCCCCATAGAAATCCGGACTATACTTTTAGGAGTACAGAGGAGTAGGGAGTACAGAACGAAGAGTACGATAAGATAGTTAAGAAGTAGGGAGGCGTCGGGGCAGATCCTGGCAGAACAGGATCGCAGAATCGGAGCACGTCCCAGATGCGCCATCATCGCGGAGACGACAGCAAATTTCGTTTGAGAGTATCGAATTCGCTCTGGGTAATAGCCCGGGCCGTCAGGAGATCATTCAGTTCCGAAATCTTTGCGATCAAGTTCCCAGTATTGCCCCTCGGAGTCGCAGGAGGTGCATGGTGCATCTGAGGCATGGATTGATGGGGCATGGAATGCATGGGATGATGGTACATGGGCAGTGGAGTCAAAGGCATGGCTTGATGGGCATGCATTGGAGCTCCACTGAAGAATTGATTGGAATTTGAGATGATGCTCGGATTAGCGTACGGAGGCATATACGAAGGAGGCACAGGCGAGTCAGAAGTCACAGCAGGAGTCGGAGAAGTTCGTGTAGCAGGTGCCGGGGCTTGCGAATCATCCATAAGAGCATTCATCCCATCCATGCCATCATCGTCATTCTCGAACTCTTTATCCAGCTCCGAAGCAAGACCCGAAGCAAGTCGATCCAAGTCCACATCTGACCTCTTAATTTGATCCGGCATCGTAGCGTTGATACTCTCGACCAGTTCACTGCTCGGTGTGCAATCCTTGTAGTACTTGGTGACCTTAGGCGGATGGGTGAGAAGAAGTGCAAGACGTGCGTGGTGAGGGGGAGGGGCCCGGGGAGGGCTGCTCCATGCCCCACGGCACCAGGCCCGGGGCCCAGTCCTCGTCGCCCGCCATGCGGGGTGGGTTGGGAACCGGCTGTCAGTGCGCTTCTGAGCTCTCACAGCCACTCGATCCCGCATACGTATGCGTTTAACACAACGCC